CAGTGAGCACTGTCCTGATTTCTAAAACCACAGATTAATTTAGCCTGTTTTTGAACTTCATGTAAGTGGAGTCATGCCCTGGGTGCTTATTGGATCTTCTCTCTCTCTCTTTTATTTGTTTGTTTGTTTGTTTGACAAAGAGAGACACAGCGAGAGGAACCATGGAGGAACACAAGCAGAGGGAGTGGAAGAGGGAGAAGCAGGCTTCCCGCTGAGCAGGGAGCCCGATGTGGAGCTAGATCTGAGGACCCTGGGATCATGACCTGAGTGGAAGGCAGATGCTTAACGACTGAGCCACCCAGGTGCCCCTGGATCTTTTCTTAAGTCCATCACATCAGTGAGGTTTAACCATGTTGTTGTGGATAACAGTACTTTGCTTGTTTTTATTGTCACGATTCTTTCTTTTTTTTTTTAAAGATAAGGATTTTTTTTTTTTAAGATTTTATTTATTTGACAGAGAAAGACACAGCGAGAGAGGGAACACGAGCAGGGGGAGTGGGAGAGGGAGAAGCAGGCTTCCCGTGGAGCAGGGAGCCCGATGCGGGGCTCGATCCCAGGACCCTGGGATCACGACCTGAGCCGAAGGCAGACACTTAACGACTGAGCCACCCAGGCGCCCCTGTCACGATTCTTCCATGGTGTGACTACATGGCAATATTTTTCCATTCTCCTGTTGATGGGTGTGGGAGGCTGGGTTCCCCAGGGAGCAGCCCCTGAGACAGAGATTACTGACGGGGCTCATTAGTGAGTGTTCTTGGAGTCAACACCTGTGGAAATAGGACTGGACGGGGGGAGACCCGGACTATGGTACTTACCCAAGAACCTCAGTTGACCACATGAGGGTAGAGCTCCAGCCGCCAGAAGTTCTTCGTTCCTGAAGCGGGATCTGAGCAGCACATCAGAGCGTCCAGCACAATGGACATTTGGGCTGTTTCTAGTCTGGGGCTATTATAAATAACGCTGCTCTGAGCATTCACATACTGGTCTTTGTGGACATATGCACCCGAGTCTTTTGGGCATTCACCTAGGAGTGGCATCTCTGCGTAATTAGGTAGGTGGACCCGCAATTTTAAAAGAAACTGACAAATCCTTGCTGACCACCTACTGTGCACATGGCCCTGATTGTTCTAGGGGCTGGTTCCTAGGCATGGCAGCTTCTTGCCCTCCAAGCCCCTTGCCCTCCCAGTGGGGAACAGCTGAACACAGCAAGTATAATAAGGTAGGGGTCCCAGGACCCTGGTGGCAGGAGAGACAAGGGGCTGGGCTGCCTAGCAGTCCCCAGATTGGACTGGGCTCCCACTGGCTTCCCATTTCTCCTCCACCACAGTTGGCATGAGCCCTGGGCGAGCGCTCAGCTTCCTCAGCTGTACGGTGGGGACTGAAACAGCTGTCCAGCAGCTAGCTTCTCAGAGCGCTTGAGGCTACTTAGGAAATGCTTCTGTGGAAACCCTTTGAAATGATGGGGCCCTGGGCAAATGATGAAGGCTGACTGCCAGTGAGGGAACCCTGGGCAGGGATGGAGGGACTATGAGAGGCCTCGGGGTCAGGAGAGGAGGCGCGGAGGCCTCAGAAGCCTCAGCCCTCTGACCTCCTTGCCTGGGGGTGCCTCTCCTAGCTTTGAGGGCCTCAGCACATCCTGCAGTACTGACTATAGCCACCAGGGGACGCGTCAAGAACTGTCTTGGAGCACACGTTCACAACAGCTGTGTAGGTGGCTTGGAGGGGAGGGAAGGTCTCCATTGAGGTAGAAACAATCCATAAAGCTCCTACTGTGGGGTCAGCAGGGAGGACCACTAAATGCTCAGAAGGTTTCAAAGTGGCCTAAGTGAAGAAGGATGGAGGGGGCATGGTGACACAAGGGATGCAAACCCTCAACACACCCCGAGATTCAGACATCTGACTCCTAGCTGCCTCTGACCAGAGTCCTGTAACCCTTAGTTACTGTTTTATTTTTTTTTTTAAGATTTTATTGATTTATTTGAGAGAGAGCGAGCGAGAGAGAGCAGGAGCGGGGTGAGGAGCAGAGGGAGAAGCAGGGTCCCCGCTGAACGAGGAACCCGATGCAGGGCTCGATCCCAGGACCCTGGGATCATGACCTGAGCTGAAGGTAGACGCTCAACCGACTGAGCCACCCAGGTGCCCCATAGTTACTGTTTTAAAAACCTGTAAAAATGCCTCAGGAAATAGATTAAGTTGTATCCAGAAAAGTCCGTGGGATGTTCTTCTGCCTGAGAGAACAAACATAATGTGCTATGTTTGCAAGAAAAACATACTAGTAGCTTGCAGCTTAGCGGTAGTTCCAGGCTGGCAAACTTCTGCCCTTGCACTCTAGAGATGACAGTACTAATGCAATCTGTTGAGAATTATCCCCAGTTCCAGGCCCCTAAAGCGTAATGACCAGGTCCCTGAAGCAGAACCACCAGCTCACCACCGTCAGTCAGGGAGCTGCCGGGTGATCAAGAAAGGAAATATTAGAGCTGACGTAATCCCTCATCAATCAGCATGATCCAAGACCCTAGACCCTTACCCTGGATTCTCATCCTTTAAAAACTCTTGCTTGTAAGTAAGTCATCGGGGAGCTCGGGACTGGGAGCATTAGCCCTCCCCCACCCCGTTCTCTTGGGTGGTGCCACACCAACAAATAACCTCTTTCTTTACTGCAAAAGCTCTGTCAGCTTTTATGGGCTTGGTTCAGTTTCAGTAGCACAGCGGTTAATACGCTGGCTCTTGAGCCCAACAGCCGAGGCCAAGTCCTGATTTGTAGTTTACTGCCTTGTGATTGTGAACAATGTGCTTTACCTCCTTGTGCCTCAGTTTCCAAGTTTGTAAAATGGGAATGATTACAATAAACGGGTAGTTTTAAGAAATTGCCATGAGGATTAGCAAGTTAATATGGTCCTGGACTTAGAACAGTAAGTGTGGGATGCAGGTGCTGCCTGGGCACCCCTGTGCCCCAGATGTCAGGCCTGAGGCAGGATGGCAGCTCCTCAGAACACCTACTCTCACTGAGGTCCTAAAGATGGAGCTAGACCGCATCAGCCTGTTGGCATCATGTAGCCTGATGTCTACAGCTTGCCAGGTAATTTTCCATCAGGGCTGAGGGGACCTGATTTCCCTGATAAGCTTCCATAATCACTTCTTTTATAAGATTGTTGTTTTCTCATCAAGGTGCTCTTGGCTCGAGCCCTCTGGTCACCACCCAAGGCAGCCAGTGATACTGGTGGAGCCAGGGTGGGGGCGGAGGGGGAGGGATCTCTGGGCCCCAGCTCTGCCCAGAGATAAAGCAATGCCCTAAGCCTGTATCCCTCAGGTTGGGCCAGCAGAACCACAAAGCGTGGGGCCCTCGCCTCAGACTGGATCAACTGGAACCACTGACCTTCGACTTGCCGTGATTGCTATTGACTTTTCTCACCAGTTTGCCTTTGGCCTTTGGAAGACTGCTTCTAGAGGGGAAACGGAGGGAGGCTGGCCAGGAGTGTGGTGTGGAAGAGAAGGTCCGGGGTCCAGGCAACATCTTCTGAGGGCAACTGATGCCAGACTGCTGTTACCTCTCCATTGCCAAGACTAAAATCACAGCATGTCGGGGCTAGAAGGGCCCAGAAACTGGCTCACCTTGGCTTCCTGCTTTACACATGGGGACACCAGGGCCCAGGGAGGGCAGGAGAGGGCAAGAAAGCACAGGAGGCAGAACCTGGGTCTCCAGACCCTCCAGCCTTTCCCACCTCAACAGCCTCCCCAGCCCGGGCACCAGCACCGCTGTCCCCAGCTTCTCCGGGGACATGGATGGGGAAATTCCTCCTCTTAGCAGAGTTCAGAGTAGTCACTGACCATGACCTTGATCTGGGGTCTTGGGAAGGGCTTAGCCTGGAAGTGGGGGGCCAGGGTACCCATAAGCCTCCAAACTAACCCAGGGCCTTGCCACCTAAAGTGGGTTCGACAGAACCACCTCGTTAGAAAAGTAAAATCCCAGCCATAGCCCCAGGCCTTCCGAATCAATCAGCGTTTTAAAAAAGATCCCCCAGGAGACTCCCGGGCCTGCTGCAGGGGGGGGAAGCACCAGGTTAGAATAAGCCATTTTCCCTCCGCCAGCCTCAGTTCTCCTATAGAAATGGAGGGGGCGGAAGATCTCTGAGTTTCTTTTTCTTTTTGTTTTTAAATAGACTCCACGCCCTACATGGGGCTGGAACGCACAGCTCTGAGATCGAGTCGCTTGCCCTACGGACTGAGCCAGCCAGATGCCCCAGATCTTTGGCTTCTTTGCACAGCTAACATGCCCGGAGGCGGGCATTTGGCATGACCTCCTGTGGGACGATGTGTGTTTTGTATCAGATTTGTGGAAAGTGGAATTCCAACTCCAGCAGGGTTGGGGGAGTAATCAGCACCTCTCCCGTTCTGCCTGATTTACCCCTCTCCTCTCTGCCTGAGATACAGCACTGGGGCAACCTCACAGGTCCTGGGATGCAGCTAATTCAGTTCAGTCCACTCCAGCAACGCTGATTAAGCACCTCCTGTGTGCCCCGGGGTCTGGAGCAGTGAATCTCCAACCTGGCTGTGCATTAGAACCATCCAGGGTGCTTTTAAGAACTACTGATGCTGGACCGCACCCCAGGCCACTGGAATTAGAGTCTCTGGGGGCAGGTCTAGGTGTGACTACTCACTAACGTGCCACGGGCAATTACAATGCACAGCCGGGCTGAGAACGACTGGTCAGAAATAAGGGACAAGTCTATTTTAAATCCTACCCAGGCTATCTCCAGAGTCCCTGCTTCCTTTAGGTCAGCCAGCTGCAGCAGGTCCGCTGCAAACCAGGGGCAATCATCAGGAAATTCCCCAGATATCATACATAACCCGTGACAGCAACCTCTAATTAATCATCAACCTTGTAACATGATCCTGGCCCATAACAAGGAGACCCGCTGAATCTTTGGAAACCTGTCCACGGGCCTTGTCCAGACAATTCCTTCCAGACCCAGGGACCCGTGCCCGAGGACCACAGGCTGATGGGGGCCCAGCTCTGCTTCCAGGCTGGTAAGTGGGAGCCCTAAGCTTGGTCCCTAGACCAGGGTTGCAGAAGGAGAGGGGGAGCTGTGGAACCTTGGGTGAGTCACTTTTCCCTAGGGCCTCAATTTCTTCATCTGCCGGCCAGCGCCAGTGCAAGCCCTGCTAGCTTACGGGGCTGCCAGAGGCACAAACCAGAAGGTTACCAGGCACGACAGTTCTCTGAGAGCCTCACCTGAAACCACGGTGTGCCCTTAGTGTGCAGGCAGGAGATGGAGAACCTGGTCTTTTACCACCAGAGGTCTGGACTGCATCTCAGAACTCTACTTCCTCCCAGGCAGAGAGCCTGGAGCCTCAGCCCTTGGCTCCTGAGGGGCACTGGAGGCTAAAACCCGGCAGCAGGGAGCACCCAGACCTAGGTTGGGGGGAGGGACATGATAAGGAGGGTGGGGACCAAGCCACAGTTGGTGCTGCTGCTGTGGCAACTGTGGATTCCAGGTCATGGTGGTGCCATAAAGGAGGCAGCGTGGGAGGGCGGGGCAGGAGCTGGGCCTGGGCTCCTCGGCTCCTGGCTGTGGAGATGTGCAGAACCACCCTGACTCAACTCCCTCTGCATGCCTCCCTGCAGGTTGTGGGAGCAATGAAAGATGCTGTAAGGGTTCATACATGCCTGGCACCTAAGAGGCTTGATGGCTGGAGGGGTGGTGATGGAGTTGATGAAGATCCAGGGAGGTCCTCGCTGAGCAGAGGGCTGACCCTCAGTCACTTAGATTCCAAGAGACTTACTGCAAAGATTCTCTTTGAATCTGCCTGGGGGTGTGGTGAGGGGGAGACATCCAAAAGTCATGGTGCCTGCCCAAGTGGGCAGCTAACTCCTCACATTCAGGATCTCCAGGCAGGTACCTGGAGACTCCAGGCCGTGGCTGGCCATTGATATCAATCCCATTGGTGGATAAGGAGACCTATACAAAGAGGGGCAGTGACCTGCGTAGGTGAGCAGCAGAGCTGGGACTAGAATCTGGCTATCAGACACGGCTGCCCTCCACAGAGCCTCCTGGATGCCTCAGTGACTCTGCGGTGGGCCCAAAGAAAATCCATCTGATGTCAGGGCCCTCAACTCCAGCTCCTGGTCACCGTCTGTGCCTACTCGGGGACTCCCCCTTGCTTGTGCATAGCCTCCAGGAAAGGGCATCTGGGCAGACTCTCAGGAAGGAAGGGAGAGACGAGGGTATTCCAGAAGGGGGTGACAGTCGTGCAGGGGGCTTGGGTGAAGGGGGGTGAGCTTGGATAGCAGGGTTCAGAGGTCCCCAAGGCCAGAGTGAGTGCTTGTCCCTAAAGCCTCAGGTGAGAGAACCATGGTAGGGTTGCCTTTGGACTGAATCCATCAGGGACAGATTCACTATGACCTCAAGGGTATCCCTTGTACCTGACCAAATTTAGCCTCCCCCGCTTGTGCCCTGCTGGAATCTTGCAGGCTTGTGAGTGGTCAGAGAGGTGTGTCTGGGGAAACTGGTGAGATCTGGGAGGGGGAGGGCCTTGCTTTTTTGGGTTGGGGTCTGGCTCAAGTTCTGATTGAATTCCCTTCTATTTTCAGCTTCCATCTTCCAACCCAGAAAGAGCAGGGCAGGAGGGGAGGGGTGGAGGGGAGAGAGGTGAGGTCTGGGAGCCTACTAAGTGCAGCTGTGGGGCAGGAAGTGAGCTTCCTGCTCAGGCTCAGGCCTGGGGCTGGAGTGGAAGGGCTGCTCAGTAAGGAACTTCCTCTCTTGACTGCCAAGTGGAGCCGGGTTGGGAAGTCCCCCCATTTTAAAGCCCAGCCCTGGGCCTTGGCTGGCCCAGCCCAGGATTCTGAGGGACAGACCCGGGACTCCTTCTCCAGCCTGTGCCCCCTCCCCCCACCTCACCCTGTGGGGGCACTGATGGACCCCTTTCTCTTCCTAGAAAAGGAAGTCACCCTCACTGGGGGCCATGGCCTTCATAAATGGTGCAGGTTCTCTGTGGGACAATGATAAAGTCAGACAAACAGAGAGAGAAACAGCGCGAACACCAGGACCCATCTACCAGAGCTCACCACAATTAGCAAACCCATCTCCTTTCAGGCTGTTTCTAGATACAGATAGAATATATATGTGTATATTAAACATACAAACATGTGTCGAAGAAAACCTGGATCATATTATATCTACTGTTCTAAAACCTGCTCTTTCTATTTAATGCAAATAACCATTACCAGGTATTGAGAGCCGGTACAGGCATGAGTTCGTTTAATTTTTACAGCATTCCTCCGGGAGGGGCACTGAGGCTTAGGGAAGTTCACGGCGGAACTCAGATCCCGGGCACGCAAAGCGGGGTCCTCACCAGGCTTTGATCAGGTCTCCGGGAGGGCGGGGGTCCCCTGGATGAGAGCACCGGCAGTGGCCCCGGGGCGGGGGGCGGGGGGAATGGGGGGTGTGGAGATAACTCTGAGGAGCGGGTGGGTCGGGGTCCAGACCGCACTGACACCCCCACCCCCACCCCCACAGACGCCAAGGCGCCGCGAGAGACACTCCGCTTCCACGCTGAGGCCAAGGGCGCGCAGGTGCTGCTGGACGCCCAGCAGTGCACTGCACACAGGCGCGCCACGTTCCACGACGGCATCGTGTTCAGCCAGCGGCCGGTGGCGCCGGGCGAACGGGTGGCGCTGCGCGTGCTGTGGCACGAGAGCGGCTGGTGCGGCGGGCTCCGCGTGGGCTTCACGCGCCTGGACCCCGCGCGGCTGTCGGCGCCCAGCCTGCCGCCCTTCGTGTGCCCAGACCTGGAGCAGCAGAGCCCGACGTGGGCGGCCGTGCTGCCCGAGGAGGGCGTGCTGCCCGGGGACGTGGTCCGCTTCTGGGTGAACCGCGGCGGCCGGCTCTACGCCAGGGTCAACGCGGGCCCCCGGCTCCTGCTGCGCAAGGGCGTGCTCCTGGGCGCCCCGCTCTGGGCCGTGATGGACTTGTACGGGACCACCAAGGCCATCGAGCTGCTGGGTGAGGCAACCCGCGGGGACCCAGGCACCGCCCCTGGGTGGGAGGTGGAAGCTCGGGTGGTACTGCGCTCCCACTCACAGCCGTGGGGAGATCCCGTTCAGTTTTTCATATACAGTTTTTACATCAGCTCCTACCCAGGGTCGGGTAGGAAGATGGGCGCTGGGGACGCCAGATGGACAAGACCCAGTCAAAGGGAGGGCAACCTTGCCCCTAGAGAATACTAAGAAGATATAACTAGCACTTCAAACATTCTGTTAAAGGGCTGTTTCCCAAAGGGAGAGCTTGGAGACTGGGTTTTGCTGTCTAAGTAGGAGTTCACAAGAGTCAAGGGTGGCGAGCAAAGGGAACATAAGTATGAGCGTTACAGGTGCACCGGAAGGCTGCTTGTGGGGGTGCAGTCCGCCGTTCCGTCAACGGGTGGGCAAACCAGAACCATCCCTCTAGCCACCTGAAAGGAGGAGTGTGGATTTCAGGGAGAGTGGATACAGGAAACAGCCTCAAAAAGAAATATCGGCGTTCCTGTGCTGGTCGTCCAGGGGCCTACACAAGCAGTCCATTCTCCCCCCATTTTTAAAATCACTTGTCACAGCTGCTGAAGCCCCAGCCCTGGAACACCTGTTTTGGTAGGTCTGGTGTGGGCGCAAGCACCCATTTTCCTGGCCCTCTAGGGTCTCCAGTCAGCTAGCAACAGTAGGGCAAAGAGGAGATGTCTAAAGGATGGGTGGGGTGGTTTAGGAAAAAGAATCTACAGCCTCACGAATTCTCTGCTGGGTTAAACCAGGGAAGGGATGGCTCGGCGGTAAGATCAGCTGGGAGTTCCAGCATTGCAACCCAGGAAAGAAAGCCCATGGAACTACCTCAGGGGCTGGTGGGGGTGGGGTGGGAACACCCTGGCTTTGCTTTCCCTGGGCCCTGAGTCTCCCTCTCTGCCTCAGATCCCACGGCCAGCGTCTTTCCCTCAACCATGCCATGGGCCTTCAGTGATGAGACTCTGCAGCCTGAAGGTGAGTGGCTCCCCCCAGCCCCAGGGACTCCCCGGGACTCCAGCACCAGAGGCACCAGGGGAGGCCCCAGCTCTGGGGGCTCAACTAAAGTCTTTCCAAGTCCCACCAAGTCTCCCACAGGCTTTAGGCCGAAAGATTTGGTGCTGCCTACGAGAATCCTAAACGCAGTTTAATAGCTCTGTCTTCTAGAACTTTGGCTATCTTTACAAGCTACAAGAGCACATTCATGCACAAATAATGTTATTTTGTCCCTGCTTTAAAAAGCAGTCCATGTTCATAATAAAAGATTTGCCAAACAGAAATAAAATAAATAGCAAAGAATAAATATGGAAGTAAAAAAAAATCACCCATTACCTCTTAGGTGGATTTTTCTCCTACAATTTTGTAGTTATATATCTGTGGGGAATTGTGCTCTGTTTTCCTTTTTTCTAAGTTGGAATTTTATGATATATATGTATGTACATTATGGTTTTCTTCCCAGTTTTTTTTCCACTTGTTTATGTTGTGAGCATTTTCTCATGAGGTAATATTCTTCACAATAGGACTGCGTGGTTCCCTGCCCTGTAGTTATAGCGTGAGTAGGCTGCCCAGCCTTTGCCCCCATGTGCCCCAACCTGTGTTGTCCCCTTTCCCAGCTGCAGCAGGAGAGGAGTGTGCCATCTGTTTCCACCGTGCTGCCAACACCTGCCTTGTCCCCTGCGGCCACACACACTTCTGCAGCTACTGCGCCAGGCGGGTCTTCAGGGACTTGGCCAAGTGTCCTGTATGTCGGTGTAAGATTGAGGCTGTGACCCCCGCGTGGGGCCCCCCTACTCTGAGGACTGGAGAGGGCCTTCCGGGTGCGGGTGGCAGACTGAGTCTAGCTCTGAGCCTGGCCTCTGCAGGGTGGAGAGGTGCAGCGCCCCACCACCCACATTCTGGAGGAGTCAGAAAAGCTGGTCAGCGGCAGGCCTAGCAGGGCGAGGGAGGCGGGGAGGCAATGGCTCCTCCCTCCTCCCCAACAGATTGGGGCCAGTGGAGAAAGGAGGAGCCCCTCTATCTCCCTGGTAGTTCAGCAGGGAGCCCTCTGCTTAGTCAGGTTCATTTGTGCCCAGGGCTTGCCGAGGCTTTTGGCTGACCGCCTGGTGTGGTCACCGTAGACCTAGCAATCCTGGTACCCATAGGTCATGTCAGGGAGAAGGGCCTTTATTCAGAGACGGGGCAGCCTGTTCCCTGGTTTTATAGTGGAGGAGCGGCAGATAATCAGCCTGTATCTGGTAGAAGCCTGGCCCAACCTGGGGTACTGAGGAGCCTGGAGCATCCGCAGGGAGGCATCTGGGTGGACGGTTTACACTCCTGTGTGAAAGCTGGGTCATCCCTGATAAGCCCTCCATAAAGCGGATGAGCAGTCACCCGCCCTGCCTGCCCTGCAGGGTGACCGTGAGGTCCCAGTGAGACAGCCTATCTGAAGACGTTTCTGCACACGAGACTGCGCTGTTGTGACTGTTCTTATTTCCTTGCCAATTTCGGAGGGGTCTAAATAAAGTTTGTCTCTTGTGAATGATTTTGTAGTGAGTATGTCCCCTTTGCTGCAGTCGGGGCGGGGGTGTGGATGGAGCTGTGGGCTGTCGGGATGCTAGGGCGTTTGGGAACATACCCTCTGTCCTCTGCAGACACACCCCAGGCTTGCGGTGGACTGGGTGGGGCTCGGCCGCTCAGGCCTGTGGACTTTATTCTGCTGAGGACACGAAGGGTACTGTTCCGCGCTCCCAGCCCTGAAGTCACAGCCAGGCTTTGCCCTTGCCATCCTCGATCTGAGGGGACTGCCAGGAGGCTCTGGCTCCTGAAGGAAGGGAGAAGTTGACCCGGGAGCCCTCCTCAGCAGGTGCTTGGGTTGGGGCAAGCCATACCTATTACTTTGCTGTTGTTCCTTGCTCTGGGACTAGTGGGGCGGTATCTCCCGGGAGAGAGGACTGAAAGGGTGGTTCCAACCTCTTGGGCTCAAAATTGTAGTGACGGGCACCTTCATAAACTGCCTCCCTACCCACACCATTGCCAACGGGTGGGTCGGGACATTGGGTTTCGGGGACATTGGAATAGCTTACACTCTGCAGTGGGATCGCCTCTCCAACACTCATGAATGGTCTGACCTTGGTCTTGTGGCTTGACTCCTGTGAGCCTCAGTTTCTTCATCTGTAAAGTGGAAATAAGATCATTTTCTTTGCTGGTAAGTGTGAGAATCATGAGTATGAAACTTGTAGCTTAGATGAAGTACTCAAAATATGGCATCTCCTTCCCCTGAAAAAGGCATCTCCTGGGGAAGCTGCCAAGAGATCAATGGGCTAGGTGTCAGAGATCTGGGTGTGAGTCCTGGCAGCCCACTGACTTTTACCAAGGGCCCCCATGTCATCTCCAGTCTCTTGGAATGATTTCTATGGATCCCTTCTTCATCCTTTAGGTGTCTTTTTGTTTTTAAATCCAGATGCCTCTAGAACAAGTGCAGTACTTTCATCCTATTTCCGGTGAACACCCTCTTATTAGTTAACACCTGAGCAAGCCTGATCTTAGAAATGATCTCTGACCAGAGCAGGGGGACTTCTGGAATGGTGGAGTAAGGAGTCCTGTAGATCCATTCTTCCATAAAACCGACAGAAATATTGGCAAGATTACAAAAATCAACTTTTCCAGAACTCTAGATATTAACCAAAGGCTAACAACAATCTGAAGAGGGGTTTATCCAAGACAAACTGCTCCAGCCTACTGCCACCCCTCTAGCCCCAGCTCCACAGTAGCCTTTAAAACCAGCAGCCTTGCAGCTGGTAGAGGGGACAGATGGGTTAGAAGCACCTCAGAAAGTTCTGTCACCCAAACATCATTATTGTTTGACCTGTATGGCAGTTCATTGGAAAAACTTGACTTACAGGGTGTTATTACTTAATCCAAGTTGAAGCTTTCTACTCGGGAAAACCCCTAATCCCAGGGCATTTGTCAAATATAATCAGCTTTAATTGCTTAACCTCATAGCTGCCAAGGACTGCAATACCAGTTGGGGGGCAAACATGAGCCCAGCCAAAAATTTAAAAGGGAGATCTGAGAAATTGGATGTACCTAGGAGAATTTGAAAAGCTCTGGTGGGTTTCAGGGGATCTAAAAGATTGTGTGCATGGTCTGGAAAGGCCTGAAGGGCCTCGATCTCTCGCTTCTGGCTGCCCTTGAGGTCCTGTACACTCAGGAAATAAAGACTAAGACAAAGCTGTAAATTGCTTGAGCATTGAAGGCATGCCTCAACCCCCAGAGCTCCTTGGCAAAAAGTGGAAGATTTTCTAGCTCAGGGCTTTTAAGGAAATCTCTGTCTAATCATGAGCTGACCATTAAGCTAACCCCGTGGGGGCATCAGTGGCTGCACACTACAGGAAATATAGACCTCACAGAACTAGTCTAGGAAAGTCACTGAACAAACAAGTATACAAACAACAGTTGTGGCAAACCCCAGCAGGGATGGTGCTGGTGGTGATGGTGGTGGTGGTGGTTGTGTCTGGTATTCAGAGTTGCCATATTATGTTATCTAGAGGACCCGGTTTTCAAAGGGGGAATAAAAAAAAAATATAAATATATATATATAGCCTGAAAAGAAACAGGAAAGTGTGGCCCATTTCAGTCTCTAGAAACTGCCCTTGAGGAAGGCTAGATGTTGAACTTACTAAAGATTTTCTTTTTCTTTTTTTAATTTTAATTTTAATTTTAATTTTAATTAATTAATTTTATTTTATTTTATTTTATTTTTTAAGGTTTTTTTTTAAATTTGTTTGTTTTTGAGAGAGAGAGGGAGAGAGCACACATGTGCGTATGAACAGTGGGGAGGGGCAGAGGCAGAGGCAGAGGGAGAAGCAGACTTCCTGCTGACCAGAGAGCCCCACACAGGGCTCAATCCCAGGACCCTGGAATCATGACCTGAACTGAAGGCAGACACTTAACTGAGCCACCCAGGCGCCCCAGTTTTTTATTTTAATTACAGTATAGTTCACATACAGTGTTATATTTAGTTTCAGGTGTACAATATAGTGATTCAACAATTCTATACATTATTCAGTGCTCATCACGATAAGTGTACTCTTCATCCCATTCACCTATTTCACCCATCTCTCCGCCCCCACAACCCCATCCCCCTGCTCTGGCAACCAGTCTGTTCTCTATAGTTAAGAGTCTGTTTCTTGCTTTGTCTCTCTCTCTCTCTCTTTTCTTCCTTTTTTTGTTTATTAAATTCCACATGAGTGAAATCACGTGATATTTGCTTTCTCTGACTTATCTCACTTAGCATTATACTCTCCAGCTCTACGCATGTTGTTGCAAATGGCAAGAGTTCATTCTTTTTTATGGCTGAATAATATTCCATTGTGTATATGTACCACATCTTTATCCATTCATCTATGGATGGACACTTGGGCTGCTTCCATAATTTGGCTATTGTAAATAATGCTGCAATAAACGTAGGGATGCATATATCCTTTTGAATTAAGTGTTTTTGTATTCCTTGGGTAAATATCCAGTGGTGTGATTACTGGATTATAGCATAGTTCTATTTTTAATTTTTTGAGGAAACTTCATACTGTTTTTCCAGAGTGGCTGCACCAGAAATGCACTGCATTCCCCCAAACAGTGCACAAGGGTTCCTTTTTCTCCATATCCTCACCAACACTTATTTTTTTGTGTTTTTGATTTTAGCCATTCTGACAGGTGTGAGGAGATATCTCATTGTAATTTTGATTTGCATTCCCCTGATGATGAGTGATGTTGTGCAATTTGTCATGTGTCTAATGGCCATCTGTATTAGACAGAGACTTTTTTTTTTTAAGATTTATTTATTTGAGAGATAGAGAGAGCACGCACATGGGGGAGAGGAGCAGAGGGAGAGAGAAACTCAAGGAGACTGTGCACTGAGCACGGAGCCTGAGGCAGGGCTTGATCCCATGACCCTGAGATCACTACCAGATCTGAAACCAAGAGTTGGACACTCAACTGACCATGCCACCCAGGCACCCCTAGACAGAGACTTTAAATCAGCTATTATAAGTATGTTCAAAGTATTAAAGGAAACCATGTCGAAAGAATTAAAGGTCAGTATGTTATCAGTCTCACCAAATAGAGACTATCAATAGAGAGATAGAAATTATAAAAACAACCAAATAGAAATTCTGGCGTTGAAAAGCACAATATCTGAAAAAAAAAATTCACTAGAGGGGCTTGACAGCAGATTTGAGCTGCATGAGAAAGGATCAATGAATTTCAAGATAGATTAATGCAGATCATCTAGTCTGAGGAAAAGGAAAAAGATGGCAAAAAATGAACAAAGCCTTAGAGACCTGTGAGGCACCACCAAGTGCTCCATCATACACATAACAGAAATACCAGAAGAACAGAGAAAAGGAAAGAAAAAAATATACCAAAACGTTTATAAATTTGAGAGCTTGTTCCACCCCCAGGGGGAGGGGATGCTGAAGCTCCACCCACACACCTTGTATGAAGCGGTCTGCTCAAAACCACCCCCACTGGTTAAGGGAGGTGGAGGGGTGGGGCACAGCCTGGGGAACTGGCCAGGAACTCCCCTGCTGTGAGTTTACTGATGGTGAGGCACAGAGAACATCCTGGCAGAGCAGATGGCCCTAAGCTGGGCCCAAGTGTGTGAGATCCTGAGGGAAGAGCTGTACCAGGGCAATGCCTTCCATCACCCTGATACATATATCTTCATCATCATGGGTGCATTTGGCAACTTAACCAAGAAGATCCACCCTACCATCTGGTGGCTGTTCCAGGATGGCCTTCTGCCCAAAGACACCTTCATCATGGGCTACACCCCCTCGCACCTCACGGTGGCAGACATATGAAAACAGAATGAACCTTTCTTCAAAGCCACCCCAGAGGAGAAGCCCAAGCTGGAGTTCTTTGCTTACAACTTCTATGTGGCTGGCCAGTATGAGGACACCGCCTCCTACGAGTGCCTCAACAGCCACATGAATGCCCTCCACCAGGGGCAGCAGGCCAACCACCTCTTCTACCTGGCCTTGCCCCCCATTGTCTATGAGGCGGTCACCAAGAACATCCATGACAGCTGCATGAGCCAGACAGGCTGGAACCATGTCACTGTGGAGAAGCCCTTCCAGAGAGACCTGCAAAGCTCCAGCTGGCTCTCCAACAACATCTCCTCCTTCTTCTGGGAGGACCAGATTTACTGCATCAACCGTTACCTGGACAAGGAGA